CCCCATCCCTATCCCATCCCCTGCACCCCCGCCTCCCGCCCCATCCCTATCCCATCCCCTGCACCCCCGCACCCCGCCCACATCTGTACCATTTTGTTGTCACAATCGTGGCTACTGCTCATGGGTGGACTGAGGCCAGTTCACTCTCCACTCGTGCACACTGTAGCCCCCTGAATAGCTATTGCACAGGAACTAGTTTTGATCGGTACCAACCTGGCCCGGGTCTGAACTAATTTGCATAGCAAGGGCTCAGTATCCTAAGTACATGCCGAGGTCAGGGAACCAGTACACGTAATAATAAGAAATGGAGAGTGGTCAGGGAAAGAGAGTGGAAGTCAATTAAAGGGGCAATAGAATCCCCACATTTAGTTATTTTAAAGCAATGTCTTCTTGAACTACGTGGAACTTAAAAAAAATCTCTGCCTGTGTGTCCCTCTGCCTGTGCCCTTCCCACCGAAGTCTGAGGGTGATGCTAACAACCAGGATGATGTGGGGGCAGGAAGCCTAGTCCCACAGTGAGCTGGCCCTGAGGCCTACAACTGCCATTAGCAGCTGATCCTGCAGCCTCTGACAGGCTACTTTTTCTCCCCTTGAAATCCCTTAAGAGTTTCAAGCCCAACCCAGCAGCCAGTAGCAAGTGCAGGTGCATGTGTCCATGCGAACCTGGCATGCATGCCACTTCTGACAGGAGCGCTCCCCTCATTGCCTGAATAGGAAGTACGGCACTTGAGGCCCTCAACAGATGTGCCCCACTGGGGACTTAGCACCACCAGTAGGCTCCACTGTGGAAGCTAAGGAGTGTCCACCTGGGCTTCCTGCTCCAATGAGGTGGGGGGAAAGAAGCTATTCTAAATTCTTCCACTTTCCAAGAAGAGGAAGAAGTAGCTTATGCTGTTCACTGCACCCCCTGCACCCACCCATGCAGAGGAGTGGAAGAAAAACAGTTCTCAGGCAGCCTTCTCCCACAGAAGAAGGATGAAAGTGCTCTTAGTGTGTGGAACAGACTGGCATGCCGCTTCCCAAAAGACATCTCCGCCTGAGGACTTCCAAGAAGATCACTCCTGCTGCTGGTGAGGGCTGTGGGATATCTCCCTGGATAGAAGCTCTGTGTATGTAGGTAGACACACATGGGTGCCCAGGACCCGATTTTCAAAAGTGCTCAACACCCACATCTCCACCTGAAGTCAGTGAGAATTGTGGGGGCTCAGTATCTCTGAAAATCATAGCTGCGTAATAGCCCAGGGAATTTCACCCATGATTCCTCCATTGAGTGTGTGACGGGTTGGATCACAGAAACCCTCTTGGGAGCTGCCACCTGATGTGCCAAGACTACTTCTGCCCCTGCTTTCCTGCCAGCTCGGGTCCCCAGCACCCTGTCTTGCTGAGCCAGACACGCCCATCTGCTCCAACACAGACCCAGGGTCTGAATTACTTGCCCTAAAGCTGCAGGTTTACCTGAAAGCAGCTCACATAAGTGTTCCTCTCTTTAACACTCAGATGTCCAACTCCTAATGGGGTCTAAACCCAAATGAATCCGTTTTACCCTGTAAAAAGCTTATACAGGGTAAACTCATAAATTGTTCGCCCTCTATAACACTGATAGAGAGATATGCACAGTTGTTTGCTCCCCCAGGTATTAATACATACTCTGAGTTAATTAATAAGTAAAAAGTGATTTTATTAAATACAGAAAGTAGGATTTAAGTGGTTCCAAGTAGTAACAGACAGAACAAAGTAAGTCACCAAGCAAAATAAAATAAAATGCGCAAATCTATGTCTAATCAAACTGAATACAGATAAGATCCTCACCAGTTCCAGAATGCTCCCTTTTACAGGCTAATCTCCTTTTAGCCTGCATCCAGCAATCACCCACACCCCCTGAAGTTACTGTCCTTTGTTCCAGTTTCTTTCAAGTATCCTGGGGGGTGGAGAGGCTCTCTATTTAGCCAGCTGAAGACAAAATGGAGGGGTCTCCCAGGGGTTTAAATAGACTTTCTCTTGTGGGTGGAGACCCCCTCCTCACTCCTATGCAAAGTCCAGCTCCAAAATGGACTTTAGGAGTCACCTGGGCAAGTCACATGTCCATGCATGACTCACAGTTTTTACAGGTAGCATCTATTGTTTACATGCTACCTTGAACGTCCTCAAGTAGACTTCTTATGTGGATTGAAGCATTCCAAGATCCATTATCCTTTAAGTGTTTTTTGATTAGGTACTTAATTTCAACATTCCTTTCTCCGGGAACTGACCAAATGCTCTACTAAGGTTATTTAGAAATCAAGCCAGTACACAGACAACATTCATAACTTTGAATACAAAAATGATACATGTATACAAATAGGATTAATACATTCAGTAGATCATAACCTTTACGAAGATATGTTACATGGCATATGTAGCCTAAAACACATTCTAAGCATATTTCCATAAAGCCTTATGGGAGGTACCATCACAGAGCGCATGTTGTAACCATCAGCATGAGTCAAGTTACTGTTGTAGTGGGGGAATTTGCTATGGGGAGGGTATTTCTTAGGGTTAGTTGTATGGGTTACTTGGAGTGAGGGTATTGCTGTCGGGAAAGGTGGGTGGAATGCAGGATGAACAGGATAGGATAACTGGGGTGCTGGTGAATGGGAGGTTGCTCTAGGTCATCTGAGGATGATCAGAGTTTTGGCTGTAGATGGAATTTATTAGGTGACAGGGAAATTGATTAGAGGGCTTCCTCAGGGATAGGACAGGGGAAGAGCAGTCAGGGGAATTGAGCAGGGCATGGAAGGAAGCAGGAGGTGGAGTTTCTGAAGAGTCAGTGAGAAGTGAAAGAGTTAAAGAATAAACAACTCTGGCACTTCCCAGCCTATATAATAGACACTCCTTTATGAAAAGAATTACTGTTAACTGCTGCCCAGAAACAGTATCAGAGCAAAGCTTTTGATCTACTGGTGTGTGGGTTATGTCAAAATCAAGATGAATTTTAAAGTTCACATCACTGTGCTCTTTTTTTGCTTCTCCGCTTTTGCCAGTAAGTATTTTCTTTCCTGTTTCACTGTATTGAGGGGGGGGGGGGGGTATATTTTTCATTTGCTTAGAAACACTGGACCAAAACTCTCAAACTTGGATGTTGGAGTTAGCTACCCATATCCACAGCTGAGCAACTAAATAAAAGTGACCTGATATTTCAGGGATGCTGAAGACTCGCTTATCTTCTTGATTTCCATGTTACTCCTGGTAGTAAGTACAGTACTACATCCTATCGCATCTGGAGGATCAAGTCCTGAGAGTCAATGGGCTAATTTCTACAGTCCTCGGTCTTTCCTCAGCCAAAAGCTGAGCAAACTGCAAACTGCAGGATTTGACCCAATATTCTTTCATTTAACTGTGACCTTTCTATAAGGGGTGGATGGTCAGTGCTTGGAATTGTATTACCTGTTTTTGCCCTATCTTGCAGCTCTGATTTTATTATTTGTTAAGAAAGAGCCTCTATTGTGCTAGGCACTGTATAAATACATAGAGTGAAATGGTGGCTGCATTGAAGTCTGTAGGAAATCTCCCATTGTCTTGAATGGGGCCAGGATTTCACCCATAGAGGGATCATGCTATTTGCAAGCAGCTCACAGTGTTGGGTGTGATCTGGGGATGCACAGGGACTGTGCCTTACAATGCTCCTGTTTGTGCGGGGGGGGGGGGGGGGGAGGTGTGTGAATAATTTGTGACACTCCTTTAAGGGATGCAGCATATTCCATCCCCCTCCCCGCATAACCAGCCAGTTCCACTGGCCAGTGTATGGGGGGAGGGAGAGAAATTATGGCTTTGTTTGCTCCTGGCCCAGTTTCTGCTGGTGGGGGGAATGTGGCATGCAGCCCCAGATACTGCCCCGGGCACCAGAGCTGTGACCTAGGTAGCCCTGGCAGAGACTGCCTAAGGGAAACATTCATATTGCCTCGTACGGTTCGATGCAGTTCCGCACACTCTTTTGCCCATCGTTAAAGACAGTCCCTGCCCCAAATCTTCCAATCTAAATTAAAACAAGACACAACAAATGATTGTAGCAAACATACTGAGGGAGGACATGGAGCACATAGTTACATAGATTAATTCTATGCACATTTCACTAAAGTTTGATCATGGATGCAGTTTTCACCACTTTAAGCTTAGGTTTTGATTTCATAAGAACAAATTGTATTTCAGAGGAAGGCACAGGAAGATATGAAGGACTAAATAGAACTGGACAATTACCAAGCTACGTAAGATCTTTCTTTCTTTACTCTGTTACATGTATGAAATATTGTTCAATAGAACTGAGCACTTGTTATATTCATTTGAATTTTTAAATAAATTTGCTGTGACTGTCTTGCACCCTTCTGCTTTCCACAAACAGTCTAACAAACAAGTTTACTGGCAGGAATGACCAGGGAATAGATAATTTTAAGTGACAAGGCACAAAAAGCAAATTTTGAACTTTTAAACACAAGTATTCAAACTGGAAACTTGAGTTAAAATTTCACTCAGCCAATCAGGGACCAGAAACATATCTTTTGATTTGTGTCTGATCAAAATTACTCCACGCAGCTCACATTTTAAATATCAAATGCTCACTACAAATTCCTCATTAACAAGCTACAGGCAGGTAATTGTTCCCAGAAATTATTAAGCAAAAAATTTTGAATAGATAATAAATATGGAGAAATCACTATCTGTTTGCAGACAATGAAACAGGCAAAATTGATTGAAAAAAATATTACAAATTATTCACCCAGCTCTGTTGCTCACTGTCATCAACCTGAATTCATCCCATTCCCTGTCTGCTATTTTCTGTATATATTATTATAGAATACATGGGAGTGGAGTGTATATTTTTTTCTATAAACACACATGGCAGAGCCAGTCTTGTGTAGTGGTGAAAGCAGGGGACTGTGAGTGAGACTGGTACTGTACCCCAAATCACTATTTTTCTGCTGCTTCACCATCTACCATCCATGGGAGGGACTGTGCGTCATTGCCATAAATTTTGTAATTCACATGTGAGACTTGACACCTGGGAATTGCAAAATTTACCGTGTGTGAGATAGAAATAGTTATGTATAATAGTAGTAGGTGCCTTTTTGATTGGAAACAGCAAACCTGGCATTAATGTTGATAGTGCTGAAACTGTGAAAACATCTATTTATGCAGTTCTAACTCTCGTTGCTTTGAAAGTGGAAGTGACATTTTTCAAATGTCTGGCACTGACAAAAGTCAAAGGTATCTAGAGGCAAAATTTTAGAGGGATATTCAGTTCCTGTCACCTTGTGTGCAAGACAATTCTAGTCCCCTGATCACTCCCCTTTCCATAAAGGGAGACCAGAGAGAAAGTTTGTATCTGAGTGTTACAGGAATGACTATTGAACATGGTCCAGCATTGGACAGGCTATTTAGTTCCCTTTGTGATCTAAATGGAGGTGGTGGTGCATAACGTAAAAGAAACATTCTGTACAAAAGGGTTTAACTATGCCTAAGACTATGTAACATCAACTGATATTTGCTTAAACGTAGAGAAAGTTACTGATGACTTTAACTCCCTGGCAAATGACCAAGGACCACATCTGCTCATTCAGCATTTCCATCTTAATCAGTTCCACATTACCCATCCGTTAAGGTGGAACTTTGAGTTTTCTCTTATTTCTGTTGGTAAGTGCTGTACTTAGCTCTTCCCCCAAAAGGGTAAGGGGGGAGCGTCTCAAAGACACAACTGCAAGTTAGGCACCTAACCGCCCTTGACTTTCACTGGGAGTTTGGTGCCTCGCTGCCAATGAGGCCTTTGAAAATCTTCCCCATTTCTAATGTTGTTACTAGCCAAGGGGTGTATAAAATTCTCTGATTGAATGTAGGTGTCATATGCACATTTCATTTTAGCAGTAAAAATTACTCTTCCATCGAGTACAATGAGTGCTGTGTGAGCTAGTGGCCATGGGCCAGACTTTGAGTTACACTCGATGCTTCTCTCCTGGATTCAGTGGGGATTGCTTGGGGTGTGTATATCAGGGCCGAATGTAGCCCTCTGATAGGTATTCACTCTGGCTTTCTCTAAATAATGAAATACTGATCTCATGATTTTTCTTTCAATTTTTCCAGCCTGTTTGTGTTCATTACATCCTCAAACCAATGTGTATTTTGTATTATCGCCCTGTCTGTGGCAGTGACGGGACAACCTACCGGAACAAGTGTGAGCTCTGCAGTTACTGCAGGTGAGATTCGTACCAGTGCTCTTTGTGCCATCTGACTGAAGATGTGCTGAGCTGCTGAGGCAGATTGTTTCTCATCGGTGGCATATAATAGGCAGGGGAAGGGTGCAATGCAAGCTTGCCTGGTATTTTCCTTTTATGTAAAAAGACACTGGAGTTGACAGCAAAGTTTTCAGTATCTGTTTTGGGTGTAGGAAGTCTCTATTCAGACTGGGTGCATTGTGCATCTGATCTATGAAAGCAGTGCCCCAGAACATTGCGTACCTGTGACCCAGCTTGAGAAAGCTTGATTGTTTTTTCTTGTTTTCCTTAGGGAACATGACAAGAATATAAAGATTGTAAAGGAAGGAGCATGTTAAAGATTGAGGATACCACCATCTGTCTTGTCTTGCATGCCCTGGAATCCTTAAGGCTTATTAATATGTAATCCTGCCGTGGTGCCAAGGGGCTGACTAGATTTCCTCTTGAGGTTCCTACATTCTCACAACTATGTTAATATTGTACTAATGCTATCATTTTAGTTTGTTTAAAAAATAAAATGGTTGTTTAAATCGTTAACATAAAATGTTTTTTATTCCAAAACTCTGGATTAAAATAATTCGTCGTCTAAGGACACATCACCGATAACCTATTGGTTTGCTAAAAGGTTTTATTAATACATTGTGCTTATTCTTTAACCACTTTGTGGTCAGTGTTGTTTCATGTGCCAAGGCCACCAAATCCCTTGGGTTTTGTAAATAATATTTTAAAGCTTGCTAATGAGACATTCCTTTTGGACAACCCCAGGAAGAATGTACAGCATTGGTGTCTGTTATCACACCTTCCAGGAAGCCATGTGCCCCCGGCATGTTTGATCACTTTAAGCAAATTTCAGATCTGATTTCTAAGGTGGAGAATGTTACATGTTAGAAAACAAGTGCAAGGGTAGCTAAGGGTATGTCTGCACTTCAACCAGGGGTGTAATTCCCAACTTGATGAGAAATATCTATGCTAGCTCTAATTGAGCGAGTGTGGTAAAAACAGACTGTAGCCGCGGCACTGTGAGGGGCTAGCCACCATGAGTACTTGTCTAGTATAACACTGACAGACCACAGTCATCAGGATCAAACCTGGGCCCTTTGGAGCTTAGTGCATGAGCTGAAAGTCAACTGGCTATTAGCTAAGGCTGTAGAGCAGACTCATAATCTCTCTCTCTCTAAGTGGTCTCAGTGCCACTAAAGGGGACACACCACCACACCCAGGAGTGTGTGGGTTACACTAGCATCTCGGACAGGTATGTACTCGGGGTGACGTAGCCCCATTACTGCTTGCCTGGCACTCTATTTTTAGCATGCTAACTTGATCAGAGCTAGTGGGGGTATGTCTCCTCAAGCTGGCAATTATACCCTCTGCTTGAGACACAGACATACCCTAAGGGAGTGTGTGAGTGACAGCTCAAGTGGTGCATTGGTCTTTGGTCAGCCCTGTGCACGGAGGCAGATTTCTCACTTAATATGTGCTAGCTCACACATGTTGAAAACAGACCTTTCCTCCTATGGAAGACAAGGCCTAAGAGGAGACTGAAAGTTAAAGTCGCCACATTTTTCTTGGAGTCCCTGTGCATGTGGATGCCAGGTGAGGTGCACATGCACCATGAGTGGGATCCACATGGGTAGCACATCTCGAAGAATCACAGTTACTGTAACGTAAGTAACCGTGTTTTCCCAAACTATGACTTGAACCTTCTTACATCGTCCTGCTCTGCTCCTCCCTTCTGGCCCCTTGGCATGTAACCTATGTCAGTGTACACCTCCTTACCCTTTTCTACCCACTTGCAGATACTTACTGAAATCATATCTGACTAATTCACAGGTTTTTTTTTAACATATTGGTGTTATCCACCTTTGTTAGTGTTCCTGAAGTGAGGACCCCATCATTGTTTCTTTGCAATTCTGAAGTGAGGAAGAGAAGTTCCTGTAGTACTGCTCATGATCTTCTGTGTCTATGAAGAGAAACCCCCTTCCCAATATTTAACATTTCCCCTTCTTATTTAATAAAGAAGAAGAATCAAGATACTTTATATTAGGAAGCAACTAGAATCCAGTGGGAGGCTTGGGTAGAAGACTCTTGACCAAACCAGATGGCAGGAAGGCAGGTTACAGAGATTATTACAACACATTCGGAGTTGGTGGGAAAACAGCAGTGAGAGGAGATATGTGAATGATTCCCAGTGCATCTCCATTACAGCAAAAATATAAGAAAGAGCCCTGAATACAAATCCTCTCATAGTCTCAATTCAGCGGTCACATGTAGGACAACCCTTACTTCAGGAGAGTATAGCTAGCATCCCAGTACATCTGGAGAGCTTACAAATCGCAAACTCATCTCCTAATAGCATTAGGCAAATGAACAGAACGGATCACTTTCAAATGTCAGTATTTACCAACAATGACTGCACAGCCGATCTAAAATCCTACAGTTTTCCCCTTACTTATAATCAGAAAAACCCTGGCACACACCCTAAACTACCTCTGAATTTGGGATTACCTAATAATAATATCAGTTAGCGCTTACATAGCATTTGATATCTTCAATGCAGCATCCAAACATTCATTCCTCTGTACCACTCTGGTCAGGTAGGTATGTAAGTAGCATGAATCCTATTTACCAGGTGCAGGAACTGTGACGGGATATAAGCTTGTGATTTGCCCAAGACCATACAGTAAAGCAGTAGCAGAACAGAGATTATAATGCAGGAGTCCTTGGCTCCAAGTCTTAACCTATAGTGCTTGCCTGCATAAGGCTAGAATGTTTTTCTTCTGCTTGGTAGAAGCAGCCCAATGATCAGGGCCGGCTCCAGGCACCAGGCAACCAAGCACATGCTTGGGCGGCACCTGGTAAGGGGCTGCCAATCTTGGGGTGGCGGGGGGGCAGCGCGGCACGGCATTCCGCGCGGGGGGGGCGCTCTGGCGGCGCGGCGCTCGGAGGGGGGGCGGCGCTCGGCGTGGTGCTCGGCAGGGGGGGTTCCGGCGGCGCGGCGCTCGGCAGGGGGCGTGGGCTCCGGCGGTGCGGCACTTTTTTTTGCTGCTTGGGGCAGCAAAAAAGTTAGAGCCGGCCCTGCCAATGATCATAATTCTGTCCCATGTTAACCTAGATTTTTACATTTCTATTTTATTCACCATCTACAAAGGTATTTACTGAGGTAAGTTCAATTGCTGAGCTAATGCATTCACCTACTCTCATCTGTATCTGTAGAACTTTACACTGTGATGGTAGCAGTCAGCTACTGCCAAGAGCCCATCCTTGGTCACTGAAAGCCCACGAGGGCCCTCTAGATCTTGAGTTACTACTAAAGCAATCAGGGATGCATCGGGATTAAACATCACTATGCAGTTTTGTCCTTCATCTGCAACAAGCAAGTTCTCATTTGAATCTACACAGACTCCAGAGGGATTCACAAAGGTGAATTTGTTGCCATAGTCTGGTCCAATTGTTTTCTTCAGAATTCTTTCACTGTCCATAATCTTGAGGCAGCAGCCGTGGTATTTTCCACAGAGCTGCCCTTCAGTAACCAGTATCTCTTCACTCTGCCAGGGAAAAAAAGTGATAGTACCCTAGTTAGAGCTGCTAGAATTCCAACGGGCTTGGCTTTACTGCTGGTACTAAATAACCCAGAAATCTATTCCAGAGTTTGGATGCTAAAGGCATATCGGAGTCGCAAAGAAAATTTATTAACAGCAAAAAGAACATTCTTTGAATTCTACTACTACTTAGCTTGTCTACAGCCTAGTGGGTTTGTGGAGAAACTGTAAATGGATCTCACCCTGATCTCGCAAGAAAACCAGTGTCTCTCATTCAACAGAATCATCAGGACTCTACAGAACAAAACCACTCATCATACACTTTGCTCAAACATTCTTCTTACTCTGTGCACTGTTTCAGCCTGTCAGTACAAGAGAGGAAGGATCGTTTGCGGTTAAGGCAATGGACAGAGACCAAGAGATCTGGGGCCAATTTTTAGCTTTGCTATAGTAATCTTGGCTGATCAGGGAGGCGTGTTAGCCTGGCAGTAGGGGGGATTGTTACAGGGCTGTGACACCAAGGGAAATAGCAGAGCCTCAGCATGGAGTACTAGCCTTACAGAATGTTTAATAAAGCTCTGTTTCTTACAATTCTGCCACCTTGTTCCGTAATTTACGGCTAATGAAAGAGTCATCATTAAAATTATTGCTCATCCTAAATTGCAAGCCCATGGGGGCAGGGACTGTGTTTCCCTGTGTTTAGTGCATTTTGGGAACTGCCACAATGTAAATAATTGTGTTAGTAGTTTGTGCTATACTGTACCTTATTGACTGCAATGTGCTCTGGTCTATGAAAGCCACCTATCACGTTCATCTTCAGGATGGCATTCATTCTCCAGTCCACCTCAATGATGTGAACTTTTCCCCCATCTGTCCAGTCTGTAACTGCAATATCATTGGACTTCAGGACTGCCATCCTGTAGGAATGATTCCAGTCCATTTTGGGAGACTTCAGCTGGTGGATCATCTCACCATCTTTAGAGAAGACCTTGATGGGTTTGGATCCATCAGTGACAAGCAACAAGCCATCCTGTGTGCATGCTACATCTCCCAGACCTTTCCTTGGTTCAGATCCATAGGAAAACTCATGCTTATAGCAACCATCAGGGCTGAAGAGCTGGATCTTTTGGTTTCCACTGTCTTTCACAACCAGATCTCCATCCAGAGTCATGGTCACACTGGTTGGCCAGATGAACTTGCCAGGCTCTGTCCCAAACCCTCCCAGTTCTTTGACCAGATTGTTGTAAAATATCCTTTGGATTCCAGAGAACTTCCAGTATTTATTAAATTCAAACATGTCTTTCTAAAAGAAAGAAGGGAATGAGCTTTTAACACTCATTTTCCAGGGTTTCCACACTAGATAAAGCACAGCAGTTCTTGTTGTGGGTTTAAATCATATATCATCAAAGCAGCTTCTCTGGTTGGTACATGCAAAATAGCTTTATTTGTTGATGGTATTTCTTTTTAATTTTCTCTGTGTGAGATGGGGTGTTCTTTCGAAGGGGGTAAGGTGGCCAGGTAGGCCAATTAACTCCACAGGCTGCATCTGGAGGGAGAGCCAGGGAGCAGGGTTGATTGTGAACAGGCTCAGCTGTGCAGGAGAGGCCAGGCAGGCAGCTGGCAATAGACAGGGGGCTTCCGGGAAAGGCTGCACTGCAGGAAGGTAGCAGGCTGTAGTCATTCCCTAGAAGAGAAGTGAGTTGGTTTGGAGCTGGTACTCCTAGGGGAGGACTAGGAAGGAGCATTGAGGGCTGAGTGGCTAGAGCACAGAACTGCTGAGCTGAGGGTCCCTGGACTGGAACCTGGAGTAGAGGATGGTTCCTATGCTGGCCATTGGGGGAAGGGGCACCATCA